ATCACCTTTTATAAACTTAGCTCTGAAATCAGTACTTGGAATCACTTAAAACTAGCTACCGATCAATTCTTTAATGTCGTGATTATCACGGCCATAATAACTTGACAAGTATATAAATATATTCCATTAAAGTTAACTTTGCTTCTTGCTCTAAATATAACTTGATCATGTAGGAAATAAGTCAAATAACATAATTAATTGATCGGGATATATACAGGAAAGTCCCGATATTTTCATCCAATTGACACGAAAGTCCCAAACTAATTTTTTTTACACAAAAGCCCGAATTACCGACATTTATTGACCCGATTGACCTTTTCTCCCGGTGCAGCCGGTTTACTTGGTGAAGTGGCACCAAATGCTTACGTGGACCACTGATTTATTAAATGAGAGGCTTATGTGGAGTTGTCGACCTTACTTAAGCATCATACCGTCAATCCCCATGAACCCTAGCTTCGTATTTTTCAAAGGAAAAGACGAGAATGTCGTCTTCTTCATCTGTTGGAAGCAAGGTTGTGCGAAAGTGGTGACTTAGTTGAAAGGTGGACTTCATGGAAGATAGGAAATCCTGGAAGAAGATTCATTGGATGCCCAAATTATAGGGTTAGTTGTTAATGTTGAAATTCTTCATCTTTTAGTTTTTTTTTTCTTTCTTTAATCTTGGATTATCCAGGATTCGAGTAAAGATTGTAAATTCTTTGATTGGGTGGATCCTCCACTCTCTAATCAGTGGTACAAGGACTTGCTCTTACAATTGCACAATGGGTGGAATGGAGATGTTGTAGAACAAATGGAAGAAGCAATAGTAGAGGTTGTTCCAGCTCAAGTGCAAGGTGCAGGTGGTGTTGTTCCAAGGTGGTCAATGTTGTGGTTTATTTTGGGTTTATGTTTTGGTTTGTATTTTAAGATAATATAGTGGGATATGTAGTAACTATGTACGATGTTGTTTCTTTTGCAATGTAATGAACATTTTACTTATGTTGTATTAAATTATGGTGAAATCAAAGTACAACAGCTATGAACCACATATGAATAATAAAACTGTCAATAACCAAGGCTAACCTGCACAACCAAACTTGAAATAGAATATGACATTAACCAATTATGACCATTGCTTAATGCCCTTGCTTAATTACCAGTTATTGTTTACAAAATATGAACCAATATAAGTGGATATGTACCACCATTTACAAAATACGAACCAAAAGATGGTATGCAAAATATGAACCAAAAGATGGTTTACAAAATATGAACCAAAAGATGATAACCCCTATCCTTAATCTATAACTAATGCCTTATCTTCACACATTCCTATACCAAGAGGGTCAACCAACTTCTTTTTCAGCTTCTAAAGAATGATCCTCTCTGAGGGTCTCCTTGTTCTTTGTTGCATATTATTCCCAAAATGCCCTTGTTGTACTGGAACACCTTCTTCATTTCCTTGAACATCTTCAGCTTCCACTTCAACTCCTTCTCCACCTTCATCATGTCCTTGAACATCTTCTGCTTCAACTCCTTCCACTTCATCCCCTTCTCCATCTCCTTCATCTTCTTCTTGTCCATCTCCACCATCTTCTTCTTCTCCGTCTCCTTCATCTCCTTCTCCATCTCCTTCTCATTCTTGTCCATCTCCACGTCCTTCCACTTTATCTCCTTGCCCATATCCTTCTTCTTCTTCTTCATTTCCTTGTCCATATCCACCTCCTTCCACTTCATCTCCTTGTCCATGTCCTTCTTCTTCTTCATTACCCTGTCCACCTCCTTCCAGTCCACCTTCAACATTGGCAGCCTAAAACAGAAAAAAAAAATATAGTAAAAAACACTTAATCATATACATAAACACTAAATGAAACCTTACCACATATCCAAAATCTTCTAAATGAGCTTTTGTAATTCCAAGGCATCTAATAATGTCTACATCAGTGTAACCTGATTTCCTCAACTCTTTAATTTGTTGTGTAATGTAGTCCATATCTGCCATATCCAGCCCATCTGCATCACTCATCACATCTACATCCACCATTTCTTCAGAATTGTATTCTTCATTGACCCTTTTTTGGGATGGTACTGTATTTAAGGTTTCACTTCTTTCAAACCAGCTATGAAAGCCACCCCCACCTCTGGGTACCCTACCACCTCCTCTATTTCCCCTTCTACCCCATCTACCACGTCTTGTCCATTGGGTTAGACTAGGGTCCAATCTTGGCCTGCCTATTTTCTTATTGGGTTTAGGATCTGGTTCAACATGTGGATTTTTACAGGTTTTCTTGTTGTGCCCCTTTTGTTGACAGTTTTGACATTGGATAGTTCCGCCATTTGAGGACACTTGAGAGAACTTGTCATCCCTCTCTGAGACATTCCTTTTCCTTTTCATAGTAGGCCTTCCTGGCATCCTCCTCACTAAGGGGGGGTAAGGACTTAATATAAGGAGCTTCTCTCCATAAATTGCCACCATTAACAGGTAGAATGTTAGAACTACAACTTGAATTGTACATTGCCTTACCAAAACACTTGTTGATAAATGTCTTTGGAACCTGATGAGTTAACATGATAGATGCTTGGGCATGGACACATGGTATCCCTGATACATCCTAAATTCTACATGCACAACTCTGTTTCTCTATGTTGACTCCATATGATTCAAGACCATTTCTATCTTCATATTCATTTTGTCCACTACGGTGTACCCTCCAAAACCTGTAAATAAAAGTTATTACTAAATTAGCATAAAAGTTATTACTAAATTAGTATAAAAGTTATTAATAACTTAGCATAAATGTATACAAAACAAGGAGAACTTACTTCAAGTCCTCACCAAATTCTTCCATTTTCAGCTAAATCCATGAGGTTGTAAAACCTATCCATCCTATATAGCCTTATCTCTTCAAGTATGGTCAGTAGTGGCTTCTTCCTAGAATCAAGTATAACTACATTGAAGCATTCTACCATACCATTTTCTACAGCCTCACAGGCTAATCTAGTGGAAAAGAAAGCCATGCACCATGTATTTGGCTCCTTTGCCATTAGATGTTCATAAGCACCTGGGTTAATCTGTCTAATCTCATCCATGTGATTCTTGAATTCACCCTCTATAGTTGATTTGGTAGCCTTCCAGAATAGGTTCCTTAATTGAATTCCACTATATACTTTTTTGAAGTTGGCATAGATATGTCGTGCACACTATTTATGCTCAACATATGGTAACACCTCCTTTGTTGCCTCAAGAAGACCCTTATGTAGGTCTGAAATTACACACATGCCCCTTCCTGCATCCATTCCAAGGTCAACCTCTAACAACTGAAGGAACCACTTCCAGTTAAACTTATTCTCAATGTCAACTACAGCCCAAGCTATGGGAAAAACATGATTGTTTGGGTCCCTACCTATGGTTGTTAATAATTGTCCCTTATACTGCCCTTTCAAAAAAGATCCATCAATCCCTACTACCCTTCTACAACCCATCTTCCACCCTTCTTTGATTGATTTGAAACATATGTACATCCTTTTGAAAATAGTTGTACCATCATTGTTGTCTTCAACAAAAATTTTAATGGTGTTGTCTGGATTGGATCTTAGCAATTCACCACCATAATCCCACACCCTTGCATAGTGATCACTTAATTTTCCCTCAATCATGGACATTGCCCTACATCTAGCCTTATAACTCCTTACCCATGAAATCTTAGTGTGAAATTTTTGTTGAACTTTTTCTTGGTTTTCCTTAGCTTTCAAATTAGGTGTCCTAATAAGTTCTTTAAGGAATTGTCTAGCTAACCATGTTGGTCCCATAAGTTTTCCATTCTTAAAATTCTTGACACATATATGATGTGGATACATTTTCTTTATTTGGAATGACTTTTCAGTGCTCATCCAAGAGGCTTTAACATAATAAGGACAACCGAATTTCTCATGATCACTAGCACACACACAATGTAGTCTAACACTATCACATTTATTAAACCTAATCTGATAACCTTTAGATATGGCATGATTTGTTAAACAGAGTTTAAGTTACTGTGGAGATTCATACCTTTCTTCTTCTTGAGGTTTCATTCTATTCCATTTCACATTTGGATCATGTGTGGAATATTTAAATTGAGCTTCACTATCATTTTCCTCTTCATCCACAACTTCATCTACATTTTCTTCCTCCTCCTGTTCGTCATCCAAAGGTTCTTCTTCCACGGGTGCTTCATCATCTTCAACATTCTCGAATAATGGGATTATGAAGTCTTCATCTTCATCGTCAAGAGACGGTGAGTTCAAGAACTCATCTCTACATCTCCTACTCTGTTTCTTTAGAAGGTCTTCATCTAGTTCCATGTCGATCGTGTCAAAGTCCAACACACCTTCCATCTTCAAGGCCCCAACTCGTATCTCCCTTGGACTCGAATTCATATCTCCCTCACAGTAAAAACCCTAGAATTGTCACAGTAAAAAGAGAGGTTTTTCCAGCTTGATTAACCCTTCTTCATTTAATGATGTCCTCGTCATCTTCCAAGTAAGCGTTAGTAGCCACATCAACTCAATTACCGGCTATTAAATGAGTTACCGGCAAAAAAGGTCAATCGGGTCAATAAATGCCGGTAATTCGGGCTTTTGTGTCAAAAAAAAATTAGTTTGGGATTTTTGTGTCAATTGGATGAAAATATCGGGACTTTACTGTATATATCCCTTTTTTATATCCATATATCCATTAGTGTGAGTTGAATTCCATTTGGTCAACATCTGTAATCTATTCTAATAAATGAAGGTTTTTTCGCACATGTCACATTCTCATTCAATTTGTCAATTGTCGTTTTGTGGTTATTTTGAATTAATTTTTTTTACGTGTTATTTTATGAGGTTTTTTTATTGAATTCCATATAATATTTTAATGTAATAAGTGTAATAAATGTAATAATATATAGATATCAATTTCATTAATGAATTTAGCTTTTATTTTTAAATTTTCCAAATTAAAGCTGATTAGTTTTTTTTTGTTTATTTATTTAAATTATTTGTTTAAATTTAAAGGATAAAAAACATTTAAATTATAATAATTCATTATTTTTCTTGTTTTTTTATAAATTCAAAGTTCTCAAATATTTTGACCTTTATATTTAACTTTTTATTAAATTAACCCATATAATTTAATTTTTTTTAATTAACTCATATAATACATAAGTCTATTATCGATGATTAATTAGACGATATAATATTTGATATGTGTAGTTTCTTTATTGATAGTTATTCGAGCAAAACAGCTCCAAGATAATATTGATATGTGTAGTTTCTTTATTGCCAACAATAAATATATATCAAACATCAAGCTTTGCTTCTGATCGGATTTATAAAGTTACAAATTCTATTGCGTAAGGAACGAGAATTTTCACATGAAGGATTAATCAAAAAGAAGACATGGCGCTCCCCTTTGCTCTCCATCAACTCTACTTTGCCTTTCCACCCACTCGTCTCCATCACCTTCTTATAACTCAGACCCCTTTCCCTTAGCGGATCCTTCTCAGCAACACACACAAGTATCTTAGAGCTTCCAAAAGCAGAACTATTCGGGTCCATACCCGGATTAAACAGCGGGTCATCTAATCCATTCCCCGATGGGTTTGCGACCAGCCATCCCATATCTATCAACTCTTTCTGCCGTTTATATATCTTGGACTCAGCTCCAATTGGATCCATTCCTCCAAAATACGGGTGGAGCAAAACAACACCCTCTATGTTAATAACTTTCTCATGGTTCAACCCGACCCGGATGGCCATATTGTGGGCGATGTTAGCCCCAGCACTATCTCCACCTAAGAACACATTCTGAAGATCTGCATGGTCGTTTAACCATGATTCTGGACCATTTCCTCCGACATGACTAGCCACCCATGTAATTGCCTCCCACGAGTCCTCGTATGCAATTGGTAATGGATATTCCGGTGCCAACCTGTAGTTTACAGATACAACAATGACGTTGGATTCAGTGGTTATCAAGTTAAGTGTCTGGTGGTAAGTGGGTGAAGCAGCGGAATCAGTCACAAAAGCTCCACCGTGATAGTAAATCAGAGTTGGAAGTTTCCGAGTAGGGATTAGGGTTTTGGGAATGTAAAGCCTTACAAAGACGTTGGATTCGTGTGAGATAACGACGTCTTTTGATTGGACACCTGTTAAGGTATCAGTTCCAGCTGCGATGTTATCGTTTGGGATAGATCTTACAATTCGTCCATCACTATGTACGAGCAAACCATTGAAATTTAGAGGAAATACAAGGGAGTTTGACATGAACGTTGAGGGTAAAGCAGAAGCTTTTAATTTACTTTAATTTCTGATGAATGATGATGGTGGGTGGTGATATATGATTATGTATAGAAGCAATATTATCAATGGTGAGGCTCAATCAGGACTCCTGTGTGCTGATGTTGAACTCGTGAGAGGAGAAGAATTAATGTGTGGCGATGTTGAAATTTGCAAGGATCATTTAATGAATGTAGGCGGTCTCTTCATGGAAGCTGTGTAGCTTATGCAAACTCAGGATTTCTTTTGTCTTAGCCTTCTATCAAAATCATATTTAAACTCTAGCATAATAATATACATTTTTTTTTAAGTTGCTTCTTATTCGTATGAATCATAGTTAAGAAATTTTAAGATAAATTATTTCTAATTAATTGTTGCATATTTCCAATAAGATTTTATTCTATATCGAGTTTTGTAGGTTAAATTTTTTAATGTTCATGCTTTTATAGTGAATAATTTTTTTACTAGGATATATATATATATATATATATATATATATATATATATATATATATATATATATATATATATATATATATATATATATATATATATATATATAAAAGAAAAGGAAATTGACTAATTTAACCCTTATAAATGGTCATTTTAATAAAAATAAACAACATTTTTTGGTAAAATGACCACATGCTCCGGAACATAGCATTCCAGAGTTGTAGTCCTCGTTCTTAAGTTCATATTCCGGATTATAACCTCAGTTTTTTTTTTTTTGTCTCGTGTGTGTGTGTGTATGTGTGTGTGTGTGTCCATATGTGCTTAGAATCAACCAAGTAATTAATTCGTAATTATCTCTTATAAAACTGCTTTAAAATGAGTTTTTTAGAGAGTCACCACGAAGAAAGCTTTAACAACATGTTTGTTTACCTTCACAACCTTAGGCAAACTAACTTTCATACTTACACTCACATCAGAACTGATTTGATGGATCGCTTTGAAGCTTATTTTGTAGCTATTGGATGATCGTTATATTTGTTTTTTGTACTTTTCTATTGTGTCTTTAAATTTGATGATTTTTCTACATCTAAATTAATTCGTTTTTGTTTCCAAAAAATAAAGGTACATGCATTCATAGGTTGCTTCTTGCCTGTGATCTTCATAGGTAGTGTCTCTCTTAGAGGGACTACCTAAAAACAATGTTTGTGGTGGTTGCTATCGATGAAAACAACCAAACCCTCCCTACAGCATTTGGTCTGGCCGTGGAAAATAATCTATATTGTTATACCTGGTTCCTTATGAGGTTAAGAGAAGCTCTGAGACAGGATAGGGATGTATCGTTCATAACAAATATGGACGATATTGTTAGTTCTTGCATAGAGCATGTATTCCCTTATTTTTATCATGGGTATACTTCTAAAATTGTGTTCAAGTATATGCGCACAAGAAGTGTCTCTGGCAGAGCATTACAACATGTGTTCTGGATGACATCCAACTTATATATTGTGCCTAGTTTTGAAGAAAACTTTTATCGGCTGACCCCTGATGTTGGTGAAGTGTTTGCCAACATCGATCATGCAAAATGGGCAAGAGTCTATTTAAATTTCTCTAACATCTGTTGAAATGTAGTCAACAATGATTTTCATTGGCTCTTTCAAAAAAACAATGATATTCCCAAAAAAAATGTATTATCGGTAAATCAAAGCAATGTACCGATAATAATGTTTACCAAGGCAATTTGTGACTACATTCAACGGGCTTTCGTTGAATGTAGTTTAATGGCAAGTAAAATTAGGGGTGAGAATTTTTTGGTTCGAAACTGAAAAACCCAAAAAAAAAAAAATCGAGCCAAAATCGATTTCAGACAAAACCATATTCAAATTCGGTTTTTGGTTTGATTTAAGAACAAACCGAATTGTAAATTTGGTTTTTGGTTCGAGTTGGAGTCTCATGAAGTTTAAACCAAACCGAACCGAAAAGCCGTATTTCATAAATCAATTATTTAAAAAGTATATTTTATATTTTATTTTAAATAAAAGTATTAATTATAAAGTAAAAATCATTTTAACCCATTTACTCTTTGGATCCTTTTATATGAAAATTTAGATCTTTCTCTTAGCAACTTTATGTTTCTATGTTAAAAACATTTTGATTTATGTATGAAAACTTTTTAAGTTAATATTTGGTTTCCTCGGTTTTCAAACCGAATTAGAATTCGGTTTTTGGTTTGGTTTAGAGAATTTGAATTCGATTTGGTTCGATTTTCGAATTGGATAAAAAAAATTCAAACTGAGGAACCGATTCGAGGAAACCGAAAAACCAAAAAACTAAACCGATTCCCGCCCCTAGGTAAAATACAGAGTGAAATATTAAATTTATTTAATTACTTGTACAAGAACCTTATTTGATCATATTTACTTTTCAACGAGTTTGACTACCATACTCACCTTGTATGCTGAAATGATGATTCATAAAATGATGCAAAAGTATGTTCGGTGGCAAGCAACAAAGATCCCGCCAGAGATCCCTTCTCTACTCCCGTCGGACATTTATATAGATTGATTTTAAAAGAACTTGTGTTGTTGATCCTAACCGGCATACATGTTCATGTGGAAAATAGAGCAGTCTGGGTATAGCATGCAGTTATGCTATTGCGGCATCACGTCATTCGAACATCCATGAATTACCTTATATGGTTCAGATATATTACCGGCCTGATGTGTTTCAGACTGCCTACCAGACACAAATTGTACACGCTCTTCCCTCTCCATCAGAATGGGAAATACCAGACTCTTTGATTGCAATTTTATTGCCAATGTAATTGCGGTTAATTATGTTTGTAATTGATTTGCAGTGTGTAATGAAAAATATTATTATTTCTGTAATATTTATTATATATTACAAAGATTAAAAAAAATATAATTTACAAGTACCATAGTAATACTAACAAACAAGCAAACATTACATATTAAAAAGATTCATAAGCGTTACATAAGGGAAACTTAGTTGATGAACATAAAGCTTACAACTTGTACACAACAATTCCAAAAAAGAAAATCCAACTACAAATTAACGTTGTCTTCATGTGCATATTTTGGGTTTCAAGTTTCTTCTTCGATCGAAATAAGTTATTGATTATCAGCGAATTTTGTCTTTTGCTTTGTCAACCCAAAAGATAAACCCAGACTGTGGTCCCTGAAAATTTAAGATTATACACATGATGTATATTGTATAAATTAATATTAATTCAAAGAAAATTAATAAAAGGATAACCCACATACCTCTTTAGGACAATCGTAAAAAAGTTATCCATGGTTATTTCTAGTCGTTGATGTCCTTATAATACATTCAGAGCCATAATAGCAGTATGTTATTTCTTTGGATTATGATAAATGAATGTTTAGTAGTAAATTTAATAAGGTAAAGAGTTTGGATGCTTGAATTCCTTTATATGATGGCATTTACTATGGTTATGATTCTTGACAATATTCCAGAAACACATTCCGGAGCCACATTCTGAAATTGATATTTTGGACCCTAAATTCGGAACAGTAATTATTATAGTTTTCTGACATATGTGTAGTCATTCTGAACAGTAAATGTCATAGATTCCTGACATATGTGTAGTCATTCCGAATAGTAAATGTCATAGATTCTTAATAGTATTTCAGAACCTCATTCCGAAGCCACGTTCCAAACCGGCTATTTCGGACCATTGTTTCGTTCCGGACATTACTTTTGTACGTAAATGTCATAGATTCATGATGTTATGTGTAGTCATTCCAAAAAGTAAATGTCATAGATTTCTAAAAATATTTTAGACCCTCATTCCGGAACCCCATTCTGGAGCCACTATCTGGAATGGCTATTTCGGACACTTGTTCCGAACATTGCTTTTGGACCTTAAAATGCACCTAGCATGCATCCTCAACATTGAAATAAAATTGGAATGAGTTCATATCACAATGGTGTTTGGCATTGTGAAGAAGAAGATTGTTATGTTTGTTCAGATAATAACCTAGTTCCAAAAGGCCCAAATTTCCCTCTCCCGGATAAAATGCTTGATGACGTTTTCCAAGATATGAAGACGGTTGAAGAAGAAAACGAAAGGGACTCTGAAAGAAGTCGCACACTAAATCAATGTGCGCACGATCTAGTAGAACAAGTAAATGAAAAAGAAAAATGGGTTGTTGAAGTTATGAAAGAAGTGAAACAAGCTAAGAAGTGGATTGAAAATGCAAATGCAAAGATTAATAAGTTGTGTGCAGAACGAAAACGTCTAACAGATGTTGTTAGAATTATAGGAGATTTTATTGATCGGGAACAAAATATGTATCCCTTACAATTTCCTAATTTGTGGAAACTAATCTAAGTATGTGTTAGGATTTATAACGTTCTTTGCAATAATGTTAATGAAAAAAATGATAATTGTCATTTTAGATAATCATACTGTTTCTTTTACAAAATTCAATTTAAAAAGACATTAAAATATACATATATAAAAATAGATTACATTTATGGCCGATAACTGGGAACTTGCATCCGATGCAAACTAGCCATGTATGCATGATTTTCAAACAATTCCATGTAGGTCTCAGTTAGTTTGAAACTATTATCAATCAATTCGACTTGATCTTCTATTGTTGGATTTATCCTACATGTTTCTTCCATGATGTTCATTGTGTTCACAAATTATCATATATCTTCAGATATGGTAATGAGGAGTATTTTCATGTTATACAATGTTACTTTTCTCCGGTCCTCGTCCAGTGAAGGTGGTAATGGAATTTCCAGTATTACCATTTGTTGTTAAGCACATTAATAATCATGACAAAGCATTTCTAATGTAGTCGTATCAACAAGACGGCGTTGCTCGTCTTCAAGACGTGGTATAGCATACTCTATAGGCAACTCATCGTCATCGTTCAAGTCAATGTATGTTGGAGACTAAAAATAGAATATACCTAAATTATATTAATATACTATTTAAAACCAATATGCATAAAAGTATTTAATAATAAAAAAACACTTCCTGA